CACACTATATATATATATATATACGTTACTTAAAAATGTTACAAATTTTTAGTCGATATGATGAGTTTAAAGTATATATGATTACGACTTTAACATAAAAAAATATTTCAAATTTATTTGAATTATAAATGAAGGAATAACTGAAATCCTTCATCTACATGCATTATCGCTAGAATCATTAAAGCAAGAATTGGTTGTACAGAAGTTATTACTTCCGATTGTAATTTTCTTCACAAAAAAAATGGAAATCATTATCATAAATTTGTCATAACTAATTCATTGTAGGGTGAATGTTATGCTTTAATGAAAATTCGATATTGGGAGAAATTCGCTGTATAGACTTTGAGAAGTAAGCCATATTTCACCACATTTTTTTCAACTTTGACCTCCAAGGATTCTTCTTTCATGGAGCATGAGATGTTCGATAATATAAAAAGAATGTCATTGAAATCTTTGCTCATTGTTTCATTTTTTAAAGTGATGGTCATGAGAAAAAACTAAATTATAGACCGATTTAACGGAAGGTTATACTAAAGAGCAACAATACATATATCCATAGTTAAATATGCCTAAATGAAAAAAAAACAGCAAAACAAAGTTACTTTTTTCCGTTATAATGGAAGGTTCGCTGTAAAGGGAGGTCGGATTAAAGAGCTGTAATGTACAGATAGCATATAACAATAAAGGTCAAAAGAACTTACTAATTCTGCAGTTGTGAAAGAGAACAATTTAAAAAAAGCTATTTTCTCACAGTGAGAATGAAAAACGAGAAGATCAAAACAAGATGTGTTGTTTATCAGTCTGATGGTCATCTACTAACTAACTGTTTGTGGGCCTCTCTGTGTGTGCAAAATTTATCAAGATTAGATTTATCCCTAACACATTCCAAACAACAACATTTACGAACGTGTTAAACAGCGTATTCTAGTTTGAATAACACTTCATTTATTAAGAATAAATGAGTCCCTTTTTTTTGAATATCTTCTGACGCTTCCGTTCGAAAACAGACGAAAAAGTTGAACAGATTTTAATCTTCGGAGAAAAAGCGAACGATTTTTCGTGAAATGCGATTTTTATTCTTCTTTAAATGTCCTTTAATTACGCAAGCGATATTTTCTTGAATCAAAATGTTTTCAAAAAGAACCATTAATCTTGAAAAAAAACTTTTCCCAAGCGGCGGCGACATTATTTTTTTATAGTAATTTTTTCGTCAAAGTAAAAATTCATATCGATATTTACTTTTAGACATCGAGAATCTGACGGCTGCATTTTAAGCAGAATGTTCAAAAGAGATTCAGTGAGAATGTTCTCAAAATTTCTAAAAAAGGGGAATTAGATTTTATTATTCTTAAAGACATTGATTTTTTTTTCTGTTGTAATATGTTTTTGAGATGAAAAAAATTACTTATAATATTGTAAAGAAAAAAATATCATTCATTAAAGAATAATGATGTAACGTGGGAATGACGAACGAGATCGTTCGAAAAGTCGACTGTCAAACGATCCCTAACATTTCTAAAGTGGAAGGAATTTGGAGCGCGTCTAAAGCTCTATTGCGTGGAAAGCACCCATGTTTCATTCTTGGTTGGAAGGATGACATCTATAATGTGTTTACACAATTTTTCTGTGCAAAACATTCATTTGACGCTTAATTTCCGTTCGCATGAGTCATAAACGAAACAAAATAATCGTAACTTCATTAAAATGCATTAATAAACTGTTCATTCCGTTTTCTTAAGAATGTTTTCACTTCTGATTTAGAAAAAAATCGAGGAGTCTTAAAATATCGTTATTTTCTTATAGTTTTAATTTTCAAAATTTAAAATGCCCTGCTATCTGGTAAATCCCACGCATTATATTTCAAATTCTGATTGGATGATTTGACATGCTTTAACAGATACCAGGGAACGGAGTAAAAATCCACCATCAAATTATTTGTGAAAATGAACTGAAAGGAAAACATGCGTAGAATTTCCCCACCCCGTTTCTACCACTTCGACCTACTTCTCTCCACCCCCCATTCCTCTTTTTTAGAATACCTTTTGTCCATATACACCATCCTTATTAACCATTCAGCTGCACGACGTCATCTGATTGTATATGACACATCGATATTTGAAACAAAATTTAAAACAATATTTGAAACAAACACTTTTTTTTTCTCTAGTAAAATTATGTCTTTACAACAACCACAAATATAAAATGAAATGTTTATTAAACATCATGACAGAATAGTTAGCTCCTACATGAATTGATAAATTTTCGGGAATATAATAAAAGCAATAATTAGTTAACATACATTGGTTTAATCCTTACGTAAGTACTTTTCTACAGATTTAACCAAAGACAAATCCTTTAAAAAGCGAATAATGTCTGAAAAAGGGACAGAAGTCATATCAAGAGGCACGCACACATCACACCCCGTAACTCCCTATAATATTAACCTATAAATTTCAAACTCCGCCAAAAATTAGAATTTAACGTATTGAACAACTATACCGAGGGATTTTTTTATAGACACATTAGTGGGCCCACAATGGGCCAAAATAAGTTTTGCTTACTAACCGGGAGGAGGTGTTTTAAGCTAAATATTCGTGGGGTATGCATGTGAAGCACGGCGCAGTTGGTAAAGCTGTGTAATTTCTCGTCCCGGTTGACATGGGTTCGAAACCCTGCGACAGTCGACATCCAAATTTTTTTCTTTTTCTTATATATTATTTTTTTAAATATATTTTTTGATATTTTAACGTGAATCAAGTGTTTTGTATATAAAAAAAACTATTTTTTCCTTGGGAAATAGCGAATAATAGCTAATAAACGGATAAATTTCGGATAATTGTTTTTTATTTATTTATTTTAATTTATCTTATTTTTTTAACTTCTTCTCAATATTATGAAGCAAATGAAGCGTTCTATATGCGTAAAGAAATATTTTTCTTTGTTAAAGAGCGAATAACTGCTGAAAAAGGGACAGAAGTCATATAAAGAGGCACGCACACATCACACCCCGTAACTCCCTATAATATTAACCTATAAATTTCAAACTCCGCCAAAAATTAGAATTTAATGTATTGAACAACTGTACCGAGGAATTTTTTATAGACCGATTAGTGGGCCCACAATGGGCCAAAATAAGTTTTTTTTACTAACCGGGAGGAGGTGTTTTAAGCTAAATATTCGCCGGATATGCATGTGAAGCATGGCGCAGTAGGTAAAGCTGTGTAGCAAGTTAGATTTCTCGTCACGGTTGCCATGGGTTCGAAACCCTGCGACGGTCGACATCCAATTTTTTTCCTTTTTTTATATATTATGTTTTTAAATATATTTTTTGATATTTTAACGTGAATCAAGTGTTTTGTATATAAAAAAAACTATTTTTTCTTTGGGAAAAAGCGAATAATAGCTAATAAACGGAAAAATTTCGGATAATTTTTTTTTTTATTTATTTATTTTAATTTATATTATTTTTTAACTTCTTCTCAATATTATGAAGCGAATGAAGCGTTCTATATGTGAAAAGAAATATNTATGTGAATAAAGGCTGAAAACGGGACAGAAGTCATATCAGGAGTCACGCACACATCACACCCCGTAACTCCCTATAATATTAACCTATAAATTTCAAACTCCGCCAAAAATTAGAATTTAATGTATTGAACAACTATACCGAGGGATTTTTTTATAGACACATTAGTGGGCCCACAATGGGCCAAAATAAGTTTTGTTTATTAAGCGGGAGGAGGTGTTTTAAGCTAAATATTCGCGGGGAATGCAAGTGAAGCACGGCGCAGCTGAAAAAGCTGTGTAGCAAGTTAGATTTCTCGTTCCGGTTGCCATGGGTTCGAAACCCTGCGACGGTCGACATTCAAATTTTATTCTTTTTTTATATATATTATTTCTTTCA